TCGTGTGTGTGTGTGTACAGATATTCTTTATCAAGTTGAGGAAATTCCCCTCTATTCTGAGTTTACTGAGAGTTTTTATCATGACTGGATGTTGGATTTTGTCAAATGCTTTTTCTGCATTTATCGATATGATTATGAGGGAAAAATGGGCAAAAAACATACAGAAGAAACACAAGTGCTGAGGAAGTGTAGGTTACAATGCTAGCCTCACTAATAATCAATGCTTATGCATTGAAAGGTGATACCATATTTTTTTTGCCAGCTTAATAATTAATAAGCAAAGATGTTTAAAACTTTTAATAATGCTATTATGGGTGCCTTGAAATGGGCACTTTCATACAATGCTATTGAATACATAAGCAATTTTCTCTGGAAAGCATCTTATAGTTCATATAAAAAATAATCCTGAGCAATGATATACTGAGCCCCTTTTTTCTTCAAAGCCTTAGAGAATGCTGTTCCCTCTGCTGGGATGCTCTTCCCATCTCTATCCCCTATCATTCATTCCTTCTCACCTTTCAGGTGCTGAAGCTCACCTCCTCCAGGCAGCCTTCCACAATTGGCAGTCTAGATGAGATCCTCTTTTTATAGCCTTAACAATCAACCAGCATTCCGGGGGCCAATTGTGGGGAGAAGGCCGAGACCATTCAGTATGGGTGAGACCATTCTGTATGTGAATTTCCACTTAATCCCTGTATTCTATGCCCACCCTCCACTGCGCACTGTGTTTCCCAGAGCAGAAGCTTCCAGCCCTCCACAGGGTGGGGGAAGGGTGGTCACCTAGCTGCTCAGAATGGAGGAGGGGATCCATGGGCTGTTACCAGTCAGCTCTTCTGTTCTCACCTCCCCTTTCTCTCCCACTCTCAGAGGTAGTTGGTGCCTTCGCTTCTTGTAATTTACTGTGTATTTCTGAATCCATCCACAATAAATTACTTTCACAATCAGAAAAAAGCCCCTAACTTTTTAAATTTAAAATTTCATACCTTTTGACCCAGTAATTTTACTTCTTGGAATGTGTGTCTTTTAAGGAAATAGGCAATTTGGAAAACATTTATGTACAGGCATCTGCACCACAGTACATTTTATAACAGAGAAAAGTTAGTTGCAAACAACCTAAAAATTCAATATCAGGATCATGTTTAAGTAGATAATGATAAAGCTATATGATAAAGCCATTAAGTGGTGTTTCCAAAGATACTTGCTGACATGGGGAAAAGGCTTATAATTTAATGTAAAATGAAAAAGGCAGAATATGAAATTAAAGGTACACCTTGACTCAGATTTTATTTAAAAATATGCATGGAGGAGGCTGGAAGGAATTAATTCTGAACATTAACAGTTGTTATCCCTGTCTACAATGATCATGCATTACCTTTATAATCTGAATAAAAACTTCTATATATATGCAAAAGAGAAGAAAATAGAAAAGTAAATGTAATCCTAGGTTGCATTAATAAAGGTAGAAGTTTTAAAATGTAAATGGATTAAATGCTCAAATCCAAAGACATAGGGTAGCTGAATGGTTAAGAAAACATGACCCAAATATATGCTGTCTACAAGAGACCCACCTCAGAACAAAAGATACACACAGACTGAAAGTGAAAGGATGGAAAAAATATTCCATGCAAATGGAAATGAAAAAAAAAAAGCTGATGTAGCAATACTTATATCTGACAAAATAAACTTCAAACAAAGGCCATAAAAGAGACAAAGAAGGTCGCTACATAATACTAAGGGGATTGATCCAACAAGAGGTTATAACCCTTGTAAACATATATGCATCCAACATAGGAGCACCTAAATATATAAATAAAATCTTGGTGGACAATAAGGGGGAGATTGACAGCAATACAGTTACAGTAGGGGATTTTAACACTCTACTGTCATCAATGGATAGATCTTCTGGACAAAAAATCAACAAGGCAACAGCGACCTTAAACAACACACTGGATCTGATGGATTTAATGATATTTACAGTCCATTTCATCCCCAAACAGCAGAATATACATTCTTTCCAAGTGCATATGGAACATTCTAAAAGATAGTCCATAGAGTCAGCTGGAGGAGTAGGAGAAGAGCAGGCCCAGGACGGGCCTGGTGGCTGTCTCCATGTGACTGTCTCCATGTGGCTGTCTCCACGTGGCTGCAGTGCTTGTATGAAAAGAGCAGAACAGTTGAGCCCCATGTGGCCCTTGAGGTCAGAGCCAGGGCTAGTGGGAGAAGCTGGAAGGTGGAGACAGAAGTTCCAACAGTCCTGTGATGGATTCCTCTTCCCGCAAATATCAGTAGTCATGCTGAGTTTAGTGTGAAAAGGAAATGAGGGACCCCTAGTCAAGGCCCTGGAGGTCACTGTGAGAACCACGAGGTCAGCAACCCGGTGGGCAGTGAACCAGCGTGTTCAATGGGGAAGAAGTTTTGACATCGCAGCCCAACTGCTGTCAACTTTGTTTATGCACAGCCCGTGATGTTCCCATGCTCCCATGGGTCCCAGATGACATGACGTGGGGTTATGCACAATTCCCAGTGCACTCCACATAACCCCATCCCTTTTTTCTTACTCAGTAAGGCAATGTGAATTCAAGTGACTGGGATTTATCCTATTATAGAACTAATCTTGAATCTGTTCTGATTCATGAAAAATAGCACATCACCTGGGAGCTTCAGATCAATGATCAGTGACAAGTTGCTCCATGCCGTGTTTCTCATCCAGTCCAACCCTTTTATGTCACAGTGGGGAAAATGAGGCCCAGAGAGAGGAAAGGATCACAGTCAAGTGACTGTGAAGGAAGGACACCAGGAGTCAAGCTCCTGTGGCTCTTCCTGTGACTGAGAGCAGCCTGTACCCAACTTAGATCTTAGCGGTGTGAGGGATAGGCTGGTGGGGGGACAAAGGAGGTGAAGCGAGAAGCGAAATGTGAACCTGCTGTGTTCCAGCCAGGCCACATCACCAGGCAGATGCCTGAGTCTAATATACTTAACGTTCTCCTTGGCCTCCCCCAACAAGTGCTTGGAGGTGAGGTGGGGCTGGTAGGGTGGTACAGGTTGAATTGTCACCCCCAGAAAGGTATGCTGAAGTCTCAACCACCAGTACTTCAGAATGACCTTATTTGGAAATAGGGTCTCTACAAGTTAAAGGTACAGGGATACGTGCACAGGGATAATGTGTGGCGATGAGACAGAGAGGCGGAAGATGCTCCTAGGTCTCTAACTCAGTCCCTTATCATAGTGAAAGTGAATTCAGGGCAGGCCCATGGGGAATAAAAATGTCTCCCTGGCGCTTCTTAGAGACTCACTGGGGAGATGAAATAGATTCATACTAAGCCGTGGTCCAGATTTCCTGAGAGGTAGATATCATCACTGGAGACTGGCTGAAGAAATCAGGGAGGGCTTCCTGGAGAAAGAGCCTATGATGGCCTTGCTGGAGAGGGTGAGCTGAATTTTATTGCATGAGTTCTAGGAGCCAAGCATATACTCATATACTTTCTCTTATTTTTATTGGGAGGCAGGCGATGTTATCTAAAGTTTATAGATGAGAAAATGGACACTCAGAGAAGTGAAATGATTGATTTAAGACCACATGGCTTTGTACCTGTTAGAGACATCATTTCAATTGAAGACCCTTTGATGTCACAGCTTCTCTTGCTCTTTCTTCTGCATCCAGGCTCTGCCTTTTCCGGGGTACGGTAGTGTTTAAAGGACTGATGATGTTTGGAAGTGTGTGGGAAGAGGTACACCACGTTGGCAAAGGAGCAGGGTGGGAACATACCGGAAAGTGGGGAGCCAGGAGAAGGCTGGTCTATTGAATCTCAGGGATTGAGAGAGGAAAATGGGGACCAAAGCTGGGAGAGTAAGAGGGCTGGTAATTTATCAGGCTGAGCATTTGGACTTGATGGTTAAGTAGTGAGTGAATGAGTTCTTGGGTGAGAGATACAGAGCTGGTATTTTGGAGACCTGTCTTGATGGGCGAGGGGCCAAGTTGCCAACCTGCTGTAAAGGCTCTCAAGGGGAACCATGTGGCCATGTGAGATGGACCCCATTCCCTCCTTCCAAACCCAGCCCCGGGCCTCCCTGGATGGGGGAGAATGACTGGCTTGCCTCCAAGGGCCACTTCCTGGGCTCTCCCTCTACCTGGGTCACCTTTCACATGGAAGGTCAACTCTACCAACACTGAGCTCATCCTCAGCTATTCCCCCCATTTCCTAGAGGGCTCATCAGGCCCTAAGCACCTCCCGCAACTGCCTAACCCTTCCCCTCCTCCATGCCTTTGCACAAACTCTTTTCACTGCCTGAATACTCAGTGTCTTCTCTTCCCCAGAGAAATCCTATTCACTGATCAAAATCCAGTTCAATTGTTCATTTCTTCCTGCAACCTTTGTGACTCAGAGGCAAGATTCAGTTTTTCCACCTCTCTGTACTGGCCATTGTCTGTTCTGTTCTTAGTGAGTTTTAGGTGCATGGCAGGGGAGATATGACGCAGGCCCTGGAGTTGCTTCTTCTGGTATGCAGAAAGGGCCAAGGTAGGAGGGGGCAAGTGACCTAAACCTGCCTCCCGGAACACCAAGGTGCCTAGGATGAGGTGGGATGGGGTACAGGGCCCATTTGAGCTGGATGGCAAAGGACTCAGCTGGCAGGCAGGCTTCAAGAGCACAGTGTGTCCAGTAAGAAAACACACGGCATGGGGTGGAGTGGCTGGGGCACTGGATGGCCATGGGGCAGGCTGGGGACAGACACTGCTTTGGACAGTTTGAGGGGGCTGGGGCAGGGCATGAAAAGAGAATGGTGCCTGAGGCATTTCAAAAGACAGAATGTTTAAGACTCAGGGCTGCTGAGAGGCAGGATGTATGAGTTTGAGGGTGGAAGGTGCTAGCTGGAGTTGGGGTTGCAGAGGCCAAACACAGATTCTGCAGGACGGAAAGGAAAAGAAAGCCTGGGGAAAGCAACTGCAGCAGTCAACTCCCACCCTGATGTGCATCATGACAGCATCAATATACACACCTAGCTGGTGATCAAGTCTGGTTTATTTTAGAAGCATAAACAGTGGAATTAGGAAGGAGTGATGAGAACAAGACATCAGTCTCCTCGACAGGGCCAGATCCCCCACAGGCTCACAGGCTCTGCATATAATCAAGGCTGACCCAGCAGCCTCGACCAGGCTCTTCCTACAAGGACAGGGTGTGAGCACAACCTGGGTGGACGAGAATCTTCCATGACCGTGGGGGTGAAGTAACTTGGCTTCGGGTCCCTCTGAACAAAGTGAAAAAGGCCAGAGTGCCTACGCCTTTGGCCAAGAGCGTCCCAAGCTGGCTCGATCTGTACCTGGGGCAAAGCCAGGTTCTGGAGGGGAAACCAGGGTGTCCTCTGGTGACCAGGAAGGCCCCAGGTGTCCAAGAACAACCTATAGTGAGGCCCTATGGCCAGCAAGCACCTGCTTCCCCCAGCCCTAGTTGTCTCTGCAGAGCCTTCAAGGAGGGGGCACCCAAGGCAGTCAGACTTCCCAGGCCCGCTGTTGGGTGACATAAGCCCCAGGTTCCTACAAATACTGCTTCTTAGAAGCACTGCTGTAGGGGCTACTGGAGGATTTCTGACTACTCTGGGGGTATGGGTCCAGGAAGAGGGGGGGTCTAGAAGAAGCCAGCCTCTCCTCCGTAGTCATGTTGGCCCAGTTCTGCTCACTGGATGAGAGCCCGCTGTAGGTGGGGCATGGCTCGGATGAGGGCTCCTTGCCCATGGGGAGGTAGAAGACCTGATCAGCGAAAGGCTCCGAGGTGGTCCCCTGAGCTGGAGGGGCACTCTGGCCCTGCCGGGCCTTGAGTCCCCGCATGAGGTAGCGGCACAGCAGGTGCACCAGCTCCAGCAGGTTGAGCAGCAGGGAGATGAGTCCAACCACCTGCATGAAGATGATGAAGATCGTCTTCTCCGTGGGGCGAGAGACAAAGCAGTCCACGAGGTGGGGGCAGGGCGGCCGCTGGCACACAAACACCGGCTGCATGGTCCAGCCATAGAGACGCCACTGGCCATACAGGAAGCCTGCCTCTAGCACACTCTTGCAGATCACGCTGGTCACATAGGTGCCCATCAGCGCCCCTCGTATCCGCATGCGACCATCCTCCGCCACCGAGATCTTGGCCATCTGACGCTCCACGGCGGCCAGCGCCCGTTCCACGCACGGGTCCTTGTGCGGCAGGGCTCGCAGCTCCCCCTCCTTCTGCCGCAGCCGCTCCTCGCGCCGAGACAGGTAAATGACATGGCCCAAGTAGATCAGGGTGGGCGTGCTGACGAAGAGGAACTGCAGCACCCAGTAGCGGATGTGGGAGATGGGGAAGGCCTTGTCGTAGCAGACGTTGGTGCAGCCCGGCTGCGCTGTGTTGCACTGGAAATCCGACTGCTCGTCACCCCACACCGACTCCCCGGCCAGGCCCAGAATGAGGATGCGGAAGATGAAGAGCACCGTCAGCCAGATCTTACCCACCACGGTTGAGTGCTCCTGGACCTGGTCCAGCAGCTTTTCGAGGAAGCCCCAGTCGCCCATGGCTCCCGGGCCTCCGTCTGCAGGGAGACAGAAAACACTGTCAGCACGGCATCCTTCTCAGCTGGTCCAGCGGCAAGACTGCAGCGAGGCGGGCCATGCCCTTTTTACCTCCAGGGAAACTGAGGCTCAAGGCGAGGAAGGGACTGTACTGGGGGCTCACACCCAGCAGGGTGGTCAGGACTAAAAGCAGATCTTAGGATGATGGCTGCTAAGCTCTGGCAAGGGTCCCATCTAGTCACACACCTGTGCCCCTCTTGTTCCCAGCCGGAATCCCAGGATGACCGTAGCCCAAGAAAGATTCAGATCAAGTGGAGGCTCCTGAGCCTATGGGAACAGAGAATTTGAGGAACATATCCAAGGTCATACAGCTGTGCCATGCCCCTCCTCCCTTCTGGTCCAGGACAGGCTGTCCCCAGACAGTGGAAGGGGGTGGTGGTGCTATCTTCAGCTTCTCAGGGTGCCGGAAGCCTCGGGTCCCTACTCCTTTCCTCAGATCTCATTCTGACCTTTGAGTTTGTGGTAGAAGGGGTGTTAGACCCTGAAGGCAGCATCCTGCGTTAGCTCCACCTGCCAGCAAGAGTCATCTGTACTTAAGTATGGACGCTCAATCCTGCCCCCTTTCTCCATCCCTCCTGCCCCTCCAACCCCTTCTCCCCCCAAGCTCTTGCTCCCAAATCCTAGACTCGAATTGTCATAGCAGGGTGGACACACAGGCCACAAAGTTCCCAGAACATCTTGGGGCAGGGGAGGTAGGGGAAGGAGCAGCAAAGCTGTTAGGAGCCAGGCTCTGGAACCAGACCTGGGTTCCAATCCTGACTCCCTCCTACAAACTGGGACCTTGTTTAGTGAGGACCTCTGAGCACCTCAGTCTCCACTCTTGAGAAACGGAAAGAATAAAATACTCCTGCCTCCTGGGGTTGTAAGGATACGAAGAAGGAAGGTAGGAACCTTGCTTAGCTCAAAGCCTGGCCACAGGCAGACTGGGTGGGTTCGGCTGGGGTGGTTTGCACCTCCCACCCCCTTACTCCCCTCAGAACCCCCAACTCCCCTAAGGTGGCAGGTGGTTCCCCGGATCCCCACCCCCAAGCACAACTCACCGCCTGCCTGCCAGGCGGCCCAGGTGGCGGTGGGGACGCGGTGGCCCGAGCGGCGCCGGGGGAGCCCTGCTGGGACCGCGCCTGCGGCTGGGGCGCCTTAAATAG